AGTAATTTTTCAACACTAGAATATTGTGAAGGATATATAATTAATCAATTAATAAAATAACCTGAAGACTGTTTGTCTATTTTCTGAGAAGCTACGTGAGATAGCTTTAACACTACAGAAACATAAGGCTCTTTACCTTTAGTGAAAATAGTAATTGTGGGTTAAGGGTTATGCCAATCGCTTGTAATAAATTTCAGAGAGGAAAGAAAACAACTAATTTGAGAGTCGGCGCCTTCGGAGGACGCTATGCGCTAACTTAACACTCATAAAGTAATGTGCTTGGTTATACTTTTATTATCATTTTAAATATTCTTTCATATTTCATACTTACGAAAATTATTTTGTATATATATTTTGGGTTTAAGTCTAACCGAACCTCTCGAGATATTATTGGGATTACGGCCGAAAATGTAAGTAGTGAGGATACGCAGCTAATGGGTTAATCCATATTAAACATTATCGGTTTTTAGTTTTGAATTGGTTTTTGATATTTAACAGTTCTATTTAGGTTATTATATAAGATCGGCTTCAGTCATGTAAAGTTACCTTTATGTTCCGATCTAATAAGCTTTTCGTTTGATAAGAAGTTCTTACTAACGTATACAGATAAAAACGTAAGGTAAGGTTGTAGTGCTCAGATATCACGAGAACGATTGTCGTAGTTAGTAGCCTATAAGATATTATAGGATACTGTTTTTTTTCTTCTACTAGGTACTGTGTAATTAGTACCCAGTAAAAGTAACTAATAAATAATTATATTTAGGTGATCATGTAGGTTACTTTTTTGTTGTTGCAAATCAACACGTTAGGCTATCCAATGCTGGAATCTAACTTCAGATTTTAATGTTGTAAGTCTGTAAACTTACCACTGTTCCATCGAAGAACGTTGTATTACTGCTCATGGTAGTAATTTATATAAATAGTAAAATAATTTGAAATTTACCGAATACAATGAATTAGAAAAAAAAACTGATTTAATGATTATTAATAGCTAACCGGGTGTAGCAGTATGATATTGGTATTTTTTACTTTGAATGATACTTAAAACAAAATGACTCGAACAAACGCAATATCTGACCTAGGCAATTAATACCTGACAGAATTCTTAAGCTTTGTAGTATTATTAGAGATGAAAACTTTAAGGAAAAGTGTAGTGCACTTTCTTTTGTGTAAGTATAGACTTGAATTTATTTCATTGGAGGTAAATCGTATTTTGTGTAAAAAACAACAAATGTTTACGCACAATTTGGGATAGAATGTAAAAAATGAATTTCGTTTTTGACAAGTGAAAAATCCCTTGGAATACCAGATGCGTGATTTTGATTATTTTATTGTAATATTATT